GTCACGCGAAATGTCACGCAAAACACTGTTCTTCATTGAAACAACGCTTCCAACTACCAAATTTACTGCTCGCAAATCGTCTTGCTCCAACTAACCGATCTCCCGACGGTGTTTCATTGTGAGAATGTTTCTATCACATTATGAAAATACTTGCGTAACATTATGTTTGTGTGTGTGTTATAAACTAAAGAAGCAATCGCCTTCTAATCAGTTCCACAATTATTAATTGATGAAGGCTAAAGGTTGATAAATGGCCTTACCGCTTGAAAAGCAGAAGAACTCACCAATTCGATGATTCTTGAATTTATTCCAGCCAAAGATCTTTTCTACGTGAGGATGTCCTTTCGCTTCAATTTGAGACCGACAAAAAGTATTCGTTGACTCTACAGCTTGTGTCACAGGTGGTCACGTGACCAGCACCCACCTGGTCAACGCTAAGGTAGAGGACAAAGAGCCTGGGAACGAGACTGCCTCACTATGTTGCATAATGACTTCCTAATGACGTCATAATAACATCACTGACATATTTTTTATGCAATCTGGTCGCTCGTGGTCACTCTTGGACACCCAAGATCACCCGTGGTCACTCGTTTGTACTTTTAGACCAACGGCCGCCCCTACCGGTCGCACACTTGCACACCCGCTTGCGCTTGAAAATAGCGCTTTCACGTTAAAAACATCCCAAACCCTCTTCCTTAGTGTTTCAATAGGATATGAACAGCAGTTATTTAAATTCTTGGGTGACAAAAACAGAGGATTTATTTTGTTAAACCTGGTTAAACAAAACAAATTTGTTCCGTGACCGATGGAAACTGATCTATTCTTTGTGGTTTCTGTGGTTGAAGATCTTGCCTGTGATTGGTTTTAACACAATAAACATTCCAGGCATATTTAGGTGTTCAAGGTTTTGTTAGCCTCCTAACGTATAACGCCGACGCTGTTTGAGCTCGTCACGCAAGATTGGGGGTATTTTGTCTTACGCCGCCATTTTTTCCTCGCGGTTTGTTTACCGTCTCGCTCGACGGACTAAGCGAAAGAGGGACTACTCGTAGTCTAGTTTGACTGTAATTTTTTTTACTCAGAGAGCTTCGGTTGGTGCAACTACAAACCCTTGACCAAACTCTTGACCTTCATGATCAGACTGCAGGGATTTTTCTCAGAACTTCTGGAATAAAAGTCAAGAATCATCGCCGGAATAGGTGAGTTCCCACGCACTTCACGCCCGTGTGGCCATTTAATCATTATTGTTTTTTAATTATTGTAGCAATCCTGCTGTCCCTCTTGAAAATAGCTTTATACTGCTGCTCCCGCTTTGTTCTCCAGATCATCTGACGTGAACTTAATTTAAGGAAGGTCGATCTTTTTGACAACCAAGAAAAGAGTTTCTATGTCTCACTCGGGTGATTTTGCATCAAACAATGGAATATCTACTTCGCAACACAAGCTGTTTTAGAATGATTGTGCAACTGATTGAAAGACTATTAAACAACGAAACCCATTGTTGCCTCTTTATTAGGTTGCTTCTTTAGTTAAAACACACCTACCTACTGACGATGTAATATTGTCCGAGTCGCGCAAGTATTTTCATAATGTAAATGTGATACTGAGAAACATTTTCATAATGCAACACACACGAACATCGTCGGGAGATCGGTTGGTTGAAACGAGACGATGAACGAGCAGTAAAATCGGCAGGACGAAGCTTTACTATGGACTTAAAAGAAAACTTTATTTCATGTATATACGTATTAAACAGGTTATCGCATATATATTTTCATATATATATACGAAATATATATACGGTATACACGAAATGAGATAAGCTATGGTGACACGAGCTTTCTTAACATTTGTCACATCACTCGTCACGTGCGTCACGCTCGTCACGCTAATTAACTCTTAGAGCGGAAGGGGTTTTTATTCAGCATTGGGGATTTGAAAGGGGCCTCGTTATATGCCCCCACCCCTTTCACAAATAACAGAGTCCGTTCCTTGCGATCTCTATTCCTGGTTTTATTCCGTTTGCCTGTCAATATTTAACGAGTAACTTCTCACCGTTTTTACTTTCTTGAAAGCTGATAAACAAACAATGGAAGGTGACTCAATCTGGGGATCTAAAGATTTTCAAGTTCCGGAGTACTTCAACTTTGCTGACGTCCTAGATGAGTGGGCAAGCAAAGAAAAGGTGACGAGCTATTGTAGTCTAAAAACGGATCTTGATTTCAGTTTCAGCCCAGAAAACTATGAACATTCTCAATGTACTCGGTTACCTTAGAAATGCGGCTTCCAGATAACCCAGCCAAGCAAAGAAAAAGCTATATAACCTGGAATATAACCCAAATTTGTCAATTGCTTTAAGAGAAACTAGAGAAGCTGCTGTACATCTCAGAATTTAAAGTAGGGATAGCCTTATATATACCTAAAGTGTTTTTCAATGCCAACTCGAGACTCTCAGGTTCTAAGACGTTCAGACGCCATTTGTTAAAAAACAAAAATCGGTTCGTGGAGACTTTTTTAGCCTTGCAAAAAGCGATACTGGTAAACAGCTTTCAGAAAAGATCGATGACTGCGAAAGGAACATAACCGTTAAAAAAGGAGATTGCGAGACCCGTGAAATTCAACGAAAATTCAGTTTCCATCGAAAAATTGTTTCTGGCGGACCATTTGTCACCCCTGTCACTTCCAATTCCGAAACTACGACAGTCTTCACGTTTAAGCACCATATCCATCTTGGGCATATACGTACATTTTTAGCATCATGTTTACAGCTTCTTTTAGATTTAGACACTGGTCCTGTATGTATACCTCTTGGAACATGAGTATCGTGTTTCCTTTACAAGTGAAATGTGGTTATTTTGGGTTCACGTTCTAGAATGGTCAAAGAGAAGGCGACATTCCCGCTTTGTGGTGGGTCGATGGCGAAGGACTAGAGGTGAAGTGGAATTTTCAAGATCTTGCTTCAAACTCGAAGCGGTAAGCCTCTAGATTCTTGATTTGATCAACCAATGGATATCAAATAACAAACTGGTCCGTGTAAACAAATCAAAATCTGCTTTTAGGCTCCCTCACTTCTTGTTGCATTCGATGTTGTTTGACATTCTCTTCCCTACACGCCGAGAATCTTTTGATGAACACAAAGAATTTTTTTAGCATGGACATGTATTCGTTTCGTCTTCTGAGCCAATCAGATTTCTCCGATTTGACGAAAAGTGCGCCAATTGAGTACCTACGGTGTTGGACCCGCGCGGATTTTGCTATTTATGGCGCGACCTCTGGGAACTAGCAATTATGTATGTACAATACAAGGCTTTCATCTAGAATGACGTATGCTCTCCCAAAAACCAGTACAAACTATGGAATCTTTAACATTAGATCTGGAACGATATTAGTGATAGTATTAAGCTTCTGCCACTTAAACATTTTAGAAAAAGATCAAGTCACATGTTATTGCAAGCTGTTAGTACATATTGAATATCTGTACCTCTGCAGGTAAAGTGTAACTCTTCTCGTCAATACACTGTATTATCCAACTACTTTTCATTAAATCTGTATGTACACTTGGTCTCTTTTTGTGTGTGCCGTGGGTTCTGTGGCATGTATATTTTTCTTATTTTCTCTTCTAGTATGTGACCCTAATATATGATTGCTGTAATCACTAAGGATGGCTGCCCAGTCTTAAATAGCCCATTAAGATTATTCCGGGTGGTCATGTACTCTCTGTATTTTAAAACGTATTTTTGTAAACTTTAATTCTAGGTATGGGTACCGATAAAGTTGTTGTTGTTGGTGTTTTCTTGCTACTCAGGCCTGTTTGAAGATTGAGATGATTCTGTTTAAAGCTGGAGGGCAATTTTACTATGTTCCTCGCTTGAAGCTTATTGAACTAAATAGTGTGGGTCTCATTTCATTTCGTTTGAGGACATCTTCAGGCATTCCTCGTTGCAATGATCAAAAACGTACCCTGATTTCTCTCAACTAACAGGGCTGCAAACGTTTTGTGCACCGCTGCCAACATCAAGCCAGGAGACAGAGTGATGATTTTGGTGCACAGAATTCCCGAGTACTGGTTGATTCAACTAGCGTGTTTAAGAACAGGTACCTAACATGTTTTTAAATTTGATAGTTGTCCGCTCGTTTTGGTTTGTAAAAATAACATACTCCCATGTTTTGGTGAAAATCTTTAGGACACTGGACAAATTGTCAACTTGTCACAAATGTTTCTGAACTGCGAAGCATTTTTCAATGTTGTTTGACTTGGTACAGTATATTATGTCAATATTGAATGAATACACATCATTATTATTGACAAAA